GTTAAAAGTTGTAAGACCTTTGGTTTGAGCTTTGGTTTGACCCCACTTCGATTATGCATACCCAGTCATGCTTCTTATGTGTCTGTCCAGCATTTAACCGGTGAATTGATACATTCTGAAACGTTTTTCGCTGTGAGTAGGAAAGGACATTATTATAATTGAACTACAAATAACTAGGGCATTTTCCTTTAGAGCAAGTGTGGCATCTCTCCTTGACACTGCCCTCGCATCTGTTCTATTGCATAGTGCAGTATTTTCCTCCTCAATCCTTTCACACTGAGAAAAATTTTTAATCGATGCCAAAGATGACGTCTCTTACCGACGATACCGAGTATGCTGTTGGCCAAATGTCTAGGAATGCCCCCAGTTAAAGATAAAGCCACAAGAATACATGAAAACAATTGCAGAGGATGCAGTAGGAGTTATATTCTTCAAAGTCTCCCTGAAAACTCGCATGATTTCCAAAAAAATATGTTGAACCGAAGGGAGACCACAATTAGTAGCATTCTTCGGTCTAGCTGCTATTAAGTGCAGGATAAATAAATTTTTTGAAGAATACATTTTTTCATAGAATGGATACCGTGAACTAAACCTTCAATTTTAACTTTTGATAGACGGAAGTGTATCAGTAAAACAATTAACTTGCAAATTTGTTGACTGTATATCGAGTAACTCCAAGCTCTATGGCTTTGTAGTATGGAGGAAAATCTTTTTACCTTGAAAACAATAGATCCAAGAATCTAATTCCATTTAGAGTTTTAATGAGATTCAGAGGAGGTCAAAAATGCAGTCTGGCCTTGACACAAACGACCCATTGGAAGGCAAGGTGAGATGAATTTTAATGAAAAATTAAATGCCCTTGTCCCTCCATCGTAGCAAATATTAAAATAAAATTTCCAAAAATTGACAGAACAATGAAACAGGTGTCTAGAATTTAAGGGAACTACATATACTCTGGTCTTTTCCTTCCTTAGGCCGTATTTGGTAGTGTCCGCATACGGCATGAACAGTTTGAGCCCTCAGAGTATTCTGATTTCGGGCAGTTCACATACATGAAAAGGCTTTTATCCAATATTCCATAAGGCAATGAGGCCAACCATAAATTTGAGAAGAGAAACTTTACTTGTCTAATAGGCACGCACTAAAAATAACTGACAAAAGTAAGCATTCTCTTTAGCCCTATAAAAATGGATCCTTAATCAAAGATGATACTGTACCAAAGTGCGTCTTAAACCATTCTACCACAAATTAAATAATATTTAAATTAACGATAAATTACCGAAGGCGTGAAGACCAGGATTGTATGGGCTTTTGTATGGCCGAAGTCTCCTTTCTTTGTATATGAGATGTTTAACCTTATTTTCAAGATTCATTTCTCTAGGTTTTCCTGCTAATATGACCAACTTGCGAAACTAAAGTGAAACAACTTTTATGCTAAATTAGTTTCCTATAGAGCAGCAAAAAGGACCTTTGGTAGGAGCAACAAAATGGGATCATAATGGTGTATTCCTTAGTTTTGTCTCAGTCTCCTTTCACTGACAACATGAACAATTTGCAAAATCAAGGTTTAGCCAATTCTGATTAAATGGGAATTCTGCCATTTGTACATCGAAAAAAAGAGAGATGAAAATGCTTTCAGCTTTTGATAGAGGTGATGATACGAGGCATATTACTTAAAGCTGCAAAATGCCGGTGACTTTACATTTGAGCATTCACTAACCGAAAAGCCCCATGCGGTGATGACATTATAACAAGAAACCAAGAAACCAAAACCTCTTGAGTATTTCGCTATTCACTTTTTTCTTTCAACCCGAGAAGCAGACCGATATGGCTTATGCAAGTCTTGATTGAAGTTCTTGTTTATTTTTGGGTTGTGTAAATCAAACTCTAAGCAAGGCAGCTGCTTCACTTAATGCAAAAGTTGTTTGAAGTGTACTCAAGGGAATTTGAAGAAGTTTAGAGCAACTGCATACCTACTAAAAAGCAGTAGTGCAGGGGATTTTCAGGCTATTCAGGCAAAATACTGCTCACGTTTTTATTCAGCAAAACGCAAGTTCGATACATTTATTTGGTTGGAATCTATACTTAGTTTCCAGAGACGTTCTGCTAATAGATAATAGACTTGCTTTCTAATGGTACCATTGTAAATTCCTCCTTCCTTACCTATCCAGTTTATGAGAACAGACAAGGAAGAATCTGTGGAAGGTATGAGCTTCATATCAAAGTACATTAATAACTTGGACTATCTTTTATTTATCGTATCATGTCAATTGATATTACAATTCGCATATGAGTTTGTTGTTCCCATTGAAGCCAGGCGAGCGACTAAACTGCAGTTAGGCTCATCTAATTGAACTTAGAAGCCATCGGGGCAGAAATTGTATATTCAGAATCGTTTTTCAATCAGTTCTTTAGCTTGACTGAGGTCAAAAAATAGCAAAAAAGAAATTTTTGGTTTATCAGTAGGTTTTTGAGATAAGAGTATACAAGATAAATTAATTGTCTTCACTCGGTTTCGCTTAAGGTGATAAGAGGACCACTGGTTGAATTGTCCCATGTTATAATCCACTTGAATTTCACATAACCTCGATTTCCTAAAAGGCATTCTCATCCAGACTAGACTTCTGTTTCGACTTCGCCTGAACTGATCTGATCAGGGCCCACCGGCGGGCCTCGAACCATTACAGGGCAGCGTATAGTCTAGACACGTTGCCATGAGGGCCCTTGGTTCACAGGGCAGATGTGAATTGCTATAGCAATCGACGATACTACTTATTTTTCGCTAGTAAGTAGGTTTTATATACCTGCATTTTATATGCATGTTGGATGAATTTTGCATGCGAGCTCATGTTTCTACAGAAATCTTATGTTCACTGTCAGTTTTCACTCTCTTTTTTAACTTGGCTGAGGTCGTAAAATACGGGAATATAATGACAGATGAGACAGAATAATGCACAGTCTTTCAATTCTCTCAGAATTCTCCGGAAAAAAGCTTTCCAACTTTTGGGCTTGACATTTGTGTCTACTCGAGAAGAGGCCAGACGCCGGTCAGCTTTTTCCTTTGATTTCGAGGAGAGACTGGTTTTAGCTGCTCGCCACACCCTTCATCCCTAAATGAGGTCTCGAACCAGTAACTTTTGTTCTGCTGAACTACCACAACATCACCGCCCCAGACCTTTCTGTACACCCTTCTATTCATCACTTGTTCTGTGCACACACACACACATACATACATACATACACGAATGCAAACAGAGAGTCTACTCCTGCTCCAGCGAGTTTTCGCGCAGGTTACTTTTATGCAATGTCGCGTGCATGGCGATTCTCGTTTTGTGTTCTTTAGAGGGGGTTTCGGGATCACAACAATAACCATTTAGGCCAATCAAGCACACTCGAGTTGAGGTATCTGGGCCGAAGAGGAAACAAGACATGGAGACTACGTACCATTTGACGCCGGAGCCTTGCTAGGCATCCAGAGCCCATTCGGCACGAGTATGCGGTCGGTTTTGAGCAAGAGCAACCGGGACAATGGTTCCAAGGGGCGAGAGATGCGGTATAATTGGGTTGTTGCAGCCTGTATCATGGCCACATCTGTTCCCTGCCCAAGGACGAGCTCACGTGCCGGGTTCTCAAGTCGCCGGAGTCTGGCAACTGAGCACCTACTCTCAGAAAGGCATGTGTTGCAATCACTGCTCAGGTCGGCGGTCACATGGGGGTGGGCGAGGCCGGCCGAAAGAGCCGAACAGCCCGACAAGCACATGCATACATACAGACACACTTACAGGCCTCGGCTACATGTCTTCACATTCTCTCGCCTCCCACCCCTCTGTCTCGGCCAGCTTGCATGCCAGCCCCACCATTAGCACAAACGCCTCACTGATTTCTCGCCCCACTGACGACGGACAACAGAGCGAGTCTGCGTGATTTAAAAAAGAACCCAGCATGTATCCCACTCGTATCCCATAACAGCTGTGCGTCTGCTCGCCCATGCAAGTGTGCGGTGGGCGACGGGGACTCAGAGGAGGTCGCCAGGGCCAACTGGTAACTGGCGCTTATGACAATCGTCCCAGGGTCGATGGCATCAGGTCAGTAGGGCTGACCGGCTGAGTTTATGTTTGTACATGCTCGGGGTTAAGGCGAGGTGGGCTGGGGTTGCTTGAAAAGGGAGAGGAAAAGGAATGCAAAGAAAAGATGGAAAGTGGGACAAAAAAGAGGCAA